ATTTAACATGACGTTAGTGATGTACACACAATGTAGCAAATCTATTATATAAAAATGAATCGCTAAATGTGTTGGTAAGCGCAAATCTCGAGAGCAGCTGAACCGATTTCGCTAATTCTTTTTTTAGAATATTCCTTAAAATACGAGGATGGTTCTTACGATGAGAAAAATTTAAAAAATTGCCTGAAAAAGTCTAAAAACAACACTTTTCTTTACTCCTATACAAAAGATTCGTAATAATACTTAAAAGTCAATTTGAACTTTAATACCATAACATAAAGTTTAAGTGTTAGTGGAGAGGTTCCGGGAAGAAAAACATTGGTGGCAATTGAGTGACGTTAGAATCGTATAAATATTAATGTCAATATTTGTCAATATTATAAAAAAATATTATATGGCTAACGCTGGCTAATAATTATTTATATCTATTTAAAACGTACCTAGCGACAAACCCGAGCAAAGCGAGGGTGAGCCGCTAGTATAGCAATATATTTGACGAATGATTCTGCCTTTTGCAAAGTAGATTGAATTACCCGACAAATTGTAACATTTATCGAGTCCAAAAATCGATTTTGGAGTCGCTGAGTGGTTAATCTAAATGTTCCTCTAAATATAATTTTATCGATAAAAATATGAAACAAGTTGTGGCGATAAAAACCAATATAAAGTAAAACCGCTCACATTTCGATACTTTGGTAGAGCGCTCGTTACTTTGAGCATTATGAATGGAGGGATGGTAACTTTATACTTTAATTAAAGCACTTGTCGTTCAGTTTTGTTTATAACAGTGCTCACTCAATATAATTACAATTATTTTTCAGAGCTTATATATTAAATGTATAGTATGTATGTATATTATGTATATAGTATATATATATTTATTATGCGTAATATATAGAACACTGAACATATGTAAGAAATCTGTATCACACTCAAGTTTGGGGGTTCGTGGGACGTAATCAAAGTCTTATATGCAGTTTTTAGAATTATTTTCTACTGCTCGTTATATAAAAGAGTAAAGATTGTATGTTGGGAATTTGGATGAAGGGTGCATCTCTAAAACTGATCCAATTCTGTTTTTTTTTCACTTAGCTTTAATTACCTATACAAATATTTGAGTTGGCTGGCAATAACTTATACAAAGTAAATACTTTTTAAATTCTACGAAAACATTTTATTTTATTATAAAATTGCTATTTTGAGCGAACGACGATTAATTTATTTCTGTAATTGAACTATAAATAAGAGTAATGGGAATAGTTTAAAGCAACTCGCCTTCTAAGAGCAGTAGAAAACGTGGCTAGCTTTAATAATTGAAAATGTAACTTTTCTTTCCTTTTGAAATCCATTAAATTCTTTTTTAAAAGCTAGTTTATTTATGAAAATTAATCTCCGGTTATAAAAATGCGTTGTTGAGAGAAATAATATGAAATATTTTAATTATAGGTACATATATTACTATAATAAAAACAATAATTATAACGGTATGTTTGTTTTTCATTAAATAAATAAGAACTGTCTCATATGTTTTAAAAGTTTCTCGTGTATATAGTTTACAAAATTTAGGTTTAATACCTTTTTAACTGACTTCCAAAAAGGAGGAGGTTCTCAATTTTTCGAAATCTTTTTTTGACGTGATTTTATTAGTTTCTCTCGTAACTAGTAAACTCCAAAATAAATTTCGAAGAATGTTGTTTTACTTTATATACATTTGATTTTTTGTATGGCTTAAAAGAATTAACGAAGTCTTTGTAGGATAGCGAGAACGGAGAGTTTTAAGTTGTATCTTGATATAATTTCATAGAGATGACGTAGAAACAATATATTAACAGGCGGGGTCAAAAAATCCCAATGCAAAGTAAAATACTAACAGTGTTAAAGTTCTTCTTCAATTGAAACAATACGTGTGATCGGGTAACTAATGTTCGCCCAGTTGCCAAAAATCGACCATAACCAATATTAAAAATATATAAAACTGTTTGAATTTTTTTCATTGATAACACTAAAAAGTTCGTCAAAAGATACTAAACAAAAAATTAATAGGACAGATTAAGGAGCAAAAACTCTTTGCTTATTGATACATATATAGATAAATAACACATGTTAGTACTTCTTTTTCCAAACTATTTATATTATTTTAGGATCTAATAAATGAATATATTTAGATTTATCACATAACTACGCGAATTCGCACATTAAATTGTAACATTGACCTTGCATATAAAATTTTGCGGATATCCGGGCCTTTTATAGGTTGACTGCGAGCTGATGTAATATTCTTATTATTCTGCTTTTACATAAATCTAATACATTAAAACGACTAATTATTGTATATTAATACCGGCTATCTCGGAGACGGCTGTAACGATTTCTCTGAAATTAGGTATGTGGGGGTTTTCGGGGGCGAAAAATCGATCTAGATTAGTCTTATGTCTGGGAAAACGCGTGTCTTCGTGATTTCATGTCGTTTTCTTTGGCACGCAAAATATGGTCGCTAATTTCCCACGCTCGGGCGTAAGCATAAGCAAGTGGCCACGGCGCAAGATCAACAATCACAGGTGTCCGGGTTCGAATCCCGGTCGGCTACAAAGCTTATACTTTTGTTATTTGTTTTTTTACTGTTTTTGTGTATAAGTTGTTATTATTCAAGTTTTAGTTTTTTTTCTAAAAGAAAATTGTACTTTTGGCCAAAAACTCCGAACGAAACTCGGTCGCCCAGGTACTGCAATCTTATTAAAAAGATATCACTGCTGTTATAAATGATAGTGTTTGTATGTGTGTGCATGTTTATTTCTCTTTCACACTGAAACGGCTGGGCGAATTCGGATATTTAGAACAGGGACTCATCCAGGCGGAGCAAGGGCAATTCGCTAGTGTTCTATATTAAAAATTGTTTGGGATAAACCCACTTTAAATAATGAATTATTTATGTTTCTGAACGCTATTATTACGCTATATAATTATACTATTATGAATATTTTTTCGTTTCTATATGATTTTCAAACGTGACCTACCAATGAATGTAAGGAAACACTTAAAACGAGTACTTCAAAGAGTCGACGAGGGACGATTCTTTTACTTTGACAGCTTTAAGTAAGTCAGTTCTAAGAATAGATTTCTACATCCATCATTAGACTTAAAATATAGGTTAAGAGTCATCTGAGATACTTATGAATATTGCGACCTAACATTTTAGAATAGCTATAATTGTACAGGGCTAATTCTGAGTGTTTTAGTATTTTCTTACAATAACTAGCGACTCATCCACGTTCCGCTCGGGTTTGTCCCTAGTTACGTTTTAACGTTTAGCTCAAAAATGAGATATTTTCCTGCAGTAAAAAGTATTTAATATAGGTGACGTAAACGATGATGTACTCGTGTGATCGATTCGACCCAGATACCCAACTATCATCATACCAGATTTCATCAAAATCTGACGAGTGTTTTTTTCGTGATTTCTGTGACCACAGACAGACAGACAGATAGACAAAATTTTTAAAAACTATAGATTCGGCCTCTGTATCGATAATAATATCTATTTCAATAAGATTTTCCAAAAAATATTTAATGTACAGATTTGGTTTAGTTAGAATTTTATTATATATATATATATATAAATGTATAAATAGGAAAAAGTTGGTGAAAAAACAAGAAGGGGCGATTAATGCTGTATCATTGTATTTATTCGATTTTTTAATAGCGCGGGTGAGAGGTCACTTCCGGAAGTGACGTCACGTGGCGCCGCAACGTACTCCCGGAAGTACCCACTTCGCAGTATGTTCCGTTTATCGCGCGTGCGCAAGATAATAATGTTTTTAAGCCTCTTTTACATTAAAAAAGAAAAAAAAACTGTGTTTTACGCGCGGGTGCGTTTGCGTAATTTATATTTATAATTAATTAAGTACCTACTCGGCTACATAGACTTTTCTAATCTTCCCAAAAAAAAAAAAAAATACTTTTCAAATTCACAACTGGCTGATAGTTACAGAGATTCAACAAACAAAAAAACAACATCAGCTCAAAATCTGGTATTTAATTAAGAACAATATTACGTATACAATATAACGTACATATTACATATATACATATATAGGTATATAATATGTTCATTTGTTTGTCTAATTATACTTCGGTTTTCTAGTATACAAAATATATTTAAATTTAAAATAATATACTCACTTAAAAAGCTTTTGCGTTTAATAATAAAAGTTCTAGTGAGTAAGGAGCTTAAAGTTCGGCTCAGCTCTTTTATGTTTGATCATGCGTTAACATAATTATAGACCGACAGTAATTTTTTTCCATTGTGAATGGTTAATATTTGATCTACGAGTATTATAAAACAGGTAATTTGAAGTTAATTATATATGTGGTTAAATAAATAATTTTGAATGACAATGAATAAACATCTATACTAAATTACGTATGTATGGATATATGTATGTATGTATCTATATAAAAATATGTATGTATTTATTTATGTACGTATGTATTTATGTTTGTATATATATTTTAATTGATGTTTCCAGTTTGTACCTACACCGCACCTCATTATTATTTTTATATTTTCTCACTCTTGAGGATTTCTGGTCTTAACTAGCACCACTCCAATATTAAATGTAAAACGGCTAAAGCGGCGGAATTTTGACAATGGTGGGTTCGAAGATAGTGAATGTGTAAGGGTTTGTTTTAAAGGTTCGTCCTTGCCTTCATACATTTATTCTTATGGCACACGCATAAAAGTAGACCCTTTTGTTTTCCCCGTTACGCAATGTTCCAGGTGCTGGCGATTTGGCCATAATTATAAGGAATGCTCAAAAAAGAATACCATTTGTCCTAAGTGTGGGAAATTTCATAATAATTGCGAAACAACTGCTTTTAAATGTGTAAACTGTAAGGGTAAACACATGGCATTGTCAAAGGTTTGTCCTGTTTATTTAAAAGAAAAGAAAATAAGGGAATTGATGGCAGAATACAATTGTACATACAAAAAGGCTCTTACAATGTATGTGCAACCTTCACCTCAGTATGAAAGACATCAAGAGGACACTCTTCAGGAAAACCTACCTAGGACAACTCAATCAGATAACAATATAACATACGCAGAGGTGTTAAAAACTACAGCCGAAGTACACAGGGAGCAGGACACAACCCTTAATTCTAATGCATCGGTATTTAACACAAAAAAAAAGAAAGCAAGAAAAGACCAAGAAAAGGTTCAAACTGATGAGGAGTACACTTTAGAATTAGATTCTGATATTGATCTAGAGCTACAGGAGAGAGAAGATATCCAACAAAGAGAGAAATTTAATAAATTTGATGTACAACAATTAATTAAAAAAATTAAGGACATAATTTTTATGAAAAAAATTAATTTTACAAAAAAGCTCAAGTGTTGTGTAAAAGTTTTGTATGACTGGTTTATGGATTCATTTGTGGAATATATATCAGAGTGGTCTAACTTCAAAAATCTATTCCAAAATGGATAATAATTTTTTACGTTCTGTTAATATAATCCAATGGAACTGTCAAAGTATACGTCCGAAGTTAACTGAGTTGGAACTATTTTTATGTCAGGAGAAAATTCATATTGCGGCCTTAAGTGAAACGTGGTTAAATTCCAATGTTAACTTTAGGATATCTGGCTATAATATAGTTCGCGAGGATAGGGACGACGGATATGGTGGTGTAGCAATTATAGTTCATGCCTCCATTAAATATCAATTATCTAAAATAAACTGTACAAATCCTGGAATACAACTTATACATCTAAAATTACTGAATTGTTTTCAAATAGAAAATATCATTGCTATCTACTGTCCGCCATCCGTGCAGACTACAACAAGCGATTGGGATTATATTTTTGGCATTTATAACAATAAAACTTTGATTGCTGGAGACTTTAATGCTCATCATTCGAATTGGTCATATAAGACAGATAACAGGGGTAGTCAACTTTTTGATGTATTGCTTGATAAAAATTATATAACTCTGAATGACGGATCACCTACTAGAATTAAATTGGTCAATGGCAGTCTACAAAAATCTTCTCCCGACATTACATTGGTAACAAGTGATATCGCTTTAAAGTTTACTTGGGCAATGTCAAATGAATCGTTAGGGAGCGATCATCTCATCATTAAATATTCCTTGTATAACAATAATCAGAGTCCTAACTTCGTTCGAAAGAGGAACTTTAAAAAAGCCAATTGGAATGGTTATTCTAGTTTTCTTCAAAGCATCTTCTCCGTTTTGATATTGGCAGCCAATCCTCAGAAGGCGTATAATCAATTCGTTGACGCTATTAATACTGCTGCTAATATATATATACCCCCAGTTAACATTTGTCAAGACCCATTAAGACTTAAAAAATTTGTTCCTAAATCATATTGGAATGTAGACATCTCTCGCTCGATAGCGGAACGGAGACTTGCATTAGCAATTTTTAGGAAAAACCCTACGCCCCATAATTTAAGCAATCTTCAAGCTAAAATGGCTTCTGCACGGAGAACTATTCGTAAAGCTAAAAGAGAAGCTTGGAGAAAGTTCTGTAGTAGTATAATGAAATTGTGTCCCTTAGTGAAATGTGCCGTCGAATGCGATGGTTAAAAGGATACCGTTTACCTAGGGCTCACATTGATGAAACTATTGCCAATAAACTTTTACGTAATTTATCCCCAGATTATGTTTCGCCAGATAAGCCTTCTTTTACTTCGAGTAATCAAGCCCTGGAAAGCATCATAACTCTACATGAACTCAACCGTGCTATTAAAAACAAGGATACAGCTCCTGGCGATGATTCCATTTCCTTTTCTATGATAAAATACCTTCCTGTTAATGGGAAAGAGATATTGATTCAGATATATAATATGATTCTGGCTTCTGGATATGTGCCAAGTCAATGGAGAAAAACTTCAATTATCCCTATACCGAAGACTGGTAGCCTATCTCAATTGTTGTTGGATATAAGACCCATTGCTCTTCTGTCTTGCCCTTGTAAAATCTTCCATACAATTTTAAAACACCGATTAGAATGGTTTTTTGAAAATTTAAATTGCTTTTCTAGAAATACTGTTGGGTTTAGAAAAGCTCACTCCTGTTTGGATAGTTTGACTAGTTTAGTTTCTCACATTCAATTAGGATTTGGGGACAATATGTTTACTTTAGGATGTTTTGTTGATAATGAGAGCGCATATAACAACGTTGATATTACTATTTTATTGAAAACATTAGACAGTCTTGGAGTAGGATCAATTATTTGTATTTATTTGTGGGAATTTATGAGATCTAGAGAATTAAATATACGTTCCTCAGGTAACTACAGTATTTCAAGAATAACAGGGCGGGGGCTCGCACAAGGAGATCCCTTATCTCCACTCCTGTTTAACGTAGTCACAATGTATATATGTCAGGGAATAGAAAATGTTTCTATATCTCAATACGCTGATGATTTTGTATTATATGGTTCATTTAAGTCAGTAGAAGAGGGGTCATTACAGTTACAATTGGCACTAGATAAATTTAACAATTTGATAGAGGCTCTGGGTTTAGAAGTTTCTGAAAAAAAGACTAAAACTTGTTTATTTAGGAAGGGAAAGAATAAACTTCCTATGAATATTGACATAAAACTTAAAGGAATTCAGATTCAACCAGTTGAATGTGTCCAATACTTAGGTCTTTGGTTGGACAGGAATCTTAAATGGACTAAACATATAAATAAAATTTTAGATAAAGCACAAAAATGTTTAAACATGTTTAAAATTTTGGCAGGATCAGACTGGGGTATGCACCCTAAACATCTAAGACGGTTGTATATTTCTTTGATACGTAGTCGTATGGATTATGCGTGTTTTCTTTATGACACAAGTTCTAATATGAATTTATACAAACTTGATAAAGTCCAAAATCATTGCATGCGTATTATTGGTGGGTTTATCAAAACGACTCCAGTGCATGTTATGGAAAACGAACTCCATTTACATCCACTTTCTTTGCGTAGGTCGTTCTTAGCAGGGAAGTTTTGGTTAAGAAGTCGAGCTTTTCGGAACAATAGGAATATTGAGCTAGTGAGTCAATTATACTCTCAGTGCATTAGATCTGGCTATTGGAAGGCTAAAAAGAAACCTTTGTTAATTAATATATATAATCTTTTAAAATCTTTCCCCATCCATTCTTCGAAAAAATTAGAAATGTTTAGTCTCATCACGTGGGTTCAAAACATTAATTTAGAAAATAATATATTCTGTTTCATAGAAAATGTCACAGAATCAAAAAAAGAGATAGATATCTCCAATTTAAGATACAAATGCTTAGAAATGATACACAAAAAATACTCTGATTGTTATAAAATTTATACTGATGGATCGAAAGGAGATAATGGGTTTGGAGCAGCTATATTAGACCCACAGTTAGGTACTAAAATTAGGTTAAAAATTGAAACCAATGTTTCCATTATGTACATTGAATTGTTCGCTATTGCGGAGGCACTATCTTATGTAAATAATATTAGTCATAACAAATTTGTTATTCTAACAGACGCTAGAAGTGCGCTCCAACACGTGGCTCGGTGCACCTCGAATTTTCGAGGAGTACAGATAGCCTACAACATATTGAAAACAATTCTAAATTTAGAACTTTCTAATAAAAAAGTAATATTCCAATGGATTCCGTCTCATGTAGGAGTTACAGGAAATGAGCTGGTAGATCGCCTTGCAAGAGAGGCAGGATCCGATGGAATACCCCTAAGCATAGTGCCTTTTTATTGTGATCTGTTACCTATATTAAAAGAACATATTAGTAAGTTGTGGGTGCAAAACTTTGAAAAGACTTCTTAGAACAAGGGGATTTGGTATAGGACTATTCAGCCTGTACCCTTTCACTCTCCTTGGTTTGAATCTTGTAATTTAGATAGATCCACCCTAAAATTAGCTTTTAGAATTCGTTCTGGACACATTCCCCTTAACTATTTTGCATTTATAATGAAAAAGGTTTCATCTCCTTTGTGTGTAGTGTGTGGGAAAAATGAAGATGTTTATCACGTTTTGATGGAATGTGTTCGGAATGAATCGTTTAGAAGGCATATATTTGCTCAAAATGATATGAATATTGGAATTTGCAATAGTATGTTAACATGTCCTCACTCAAGTTCCGCTAAAAGTGTGTATAAATTAGTGAAGTTAGGCTTAAAAAACAGATAATTGTTTGATTATATAAATATTCGTAGTATAACTAAAGGGGTTTTTTTTTTAAGTGCTTGCATTTATCGTTATTAGTTATAGTTCTAACCTTAATACATAATTATGTTAGTAGTGTTCAGGATTTAAAATGTATTATGTAGCATGTAAGAAGTCCGAACAGGACGACATGTTTCTTTTTTGTGAACAAGTCCTTTAAATAAAGAGAAAAAAAAAAAAAAAGTTAATTATATATGTGGTTAAATAAATAATTTTGAATGACAATGAATAAACATCTATACTAAATTACGTATGTATGGATATATGTATGTATGTATCTATATAAAAATATGTATGTATTTATTTATGTACGTATGTATTTATGTTTGTATATATATTTTAATTGATGTTTCCAGTTTGTACCTACACCGCACCTCATTATTATTTTTATATTTTCTCACTCTTGAGGATTTCTGGTCTCTTAAAGAGAAGTCATCCTTTGTACACATGGTATTTGTTTTCACTTTTATGTTTTTTTTTCTGGTACATAAATAAATAAATTAATAAAAATATATGATTAGTGTTCCTTGAGTTCTTCTACATCCAAGGTAAAGTTGATTTTGAAAAGTTTTTTAATTTTTTACTTTAAGTGATCAAGTAGTTTATAACGTTGCAAATCAGGAGTATTGGGTTCGAGTGCCCAGTCGGGGATCAAAGAAGTTACAGAATTTTGAGTCAACTCTCAGTAGCTGTTTAGAGTAGACTCGCGCTTGATCCACCTTTTATCAAGTCCGCTGATCTTTGCATCGGGCTTATCGGACTGCAAGGATGATATGAATAGATTGTTCTTAACAACACATGCATTGATTATTAAGTATTTCGTATAGATTCCAAGTCTCAGAGCTTAGTCGTCGTTATGCATATAGTAAAATTTCCCATTTTACACTCGCACATACTAGTAAAGTTTGTGTGTAATAATTATAAATAAAAATTAAAAAAAAACCCTACGCAAATTGTCATTTAACGATTACACTGGCACGCGTGAACCACTTAATCGAGTAATCATACGCCAAAATGTCTTATATCATTTTGGAAAAGAGCTGATACTCTCACACTGATGGACCGATATTAACCAAACATAGCTAAGAGCCACCGCAAGGAAACTGGCTTACAAATAAAAAAACCGCATCGAAATCGGTCTATCCGTTTGAGAGCTACGATGCCACAGACAGACACACACACACACACACACATACAGACATTGACGTCTCTTTTTGCGTCGAGGGTTAAAAAATAAGATTAGTTACTATATAACATACTTTTACATTTACGTACATACGAGTACATACATTACCTAGCTACTTAAGATTATTAATAATAAAAAATTATTAACTCATAATATTATTTAAGAATACTCTTACTTGATATAAAAATAATCTAAAATATTAGATAAAATTTCATTATTAATATTAATATTAGACCGAATAATTGAATTTACCAGGTGTGAAACACCCTTCTCACTTATAGCAGTTAGATGGGGGCCGATACTATCGGTATTGTTTGTTTTTCTATTTCTATAACTATAGTTGAAGTACATATACCTAGTGCCATTTAGTGGATTTCAATGGGTTTTGCAGCTTTTTTAGTTCAATTATATATATATATATATATATATATATATATATATACACATACATACATACATACATACTAGCGGCTCACCCTCGCTTTGCTCGGTTTCGTCCCAAGGTACGTTTTAACGGTTAGTATGGAATAGATAAACTATACGAGTATAATATATATTATATTACTGCTTCGCACTCTTGGGTAGTAGAATGATGATATATATACTAGGCCTATAGCTTTCCTTAATAAATGGGCTATCTAATGCTAAAAGATTTTTTCAAATCGAATTAGTAGTTCCTGAGATTAGCGCGCTCAAAAAACAGATAAACAAACTATGCCTCTTTATAATATTAGTATAGATTTTACACCCGATAAGAAATAAGCGTTTATCCTCCACACTTATCACTCGCGTATGTAAACGTCTGTCATCTTTAATTTTTATGAATTTATTAAAGGAAAATACTAAAACTTGGTTCAGAATCTGAAATGAGTTGAATTTAAATAGATTAATAATAAGGATTAAAAGATAGGGTTCTATAACTCATGATATACTTTTAAATCTCATAATATGAAAAGTTAGTGAGTGAAATAGTTTTTACACCGGAAATCATCCCTTAAGGGGAGGGGGTGGAGGGGGGGGGGGTGAGGAGAATTGGGATGAAAGTTTGTATGGGGAAGCAAGTTAGGGACGAACTCGAGCGAAGCGAGGAGTTAACAATAAAGCTGCTGGCATACTACGTAATATGTACAGTCTACAACACAGGTTAAGCACGACGGCTATTAATAATATTCTATATTACGCTTTAATGTCGTGGATTTTTGAAACTTTTTATTTGAGGTCTTTTGCATGTTACAATTTCAAAAAAAAGAATTATGGTTCCACTCAAATAATTAAAATTACTTAGTTAGGGACTCACTCGAACCTACCGAGGTTAAGTTGCTAGTATCCTTATAAAAACTGATAACTTATCGAACATTTTTATATAATCATGATTTAACATAAAATTTGTTGCATAAGAATTACTATTTATAACCGCACAAAAAGATCATTAATCATTTTCGAGATTTCAACCTAGTTATTTCCTTATAATTTTGATGGGCTAAAGCTTTATGTATAAAAAGCAAATTGGAAACTATTTTGATAAAATTAGTGAAATTTATAACGATTAATATGAAAGTGTTAGATTATACAAATATTATTAATTAAATATTAATAAAAGTGTTTGTGAGGATGTTTGTTACAAATACACGCAAAAACTACTGAACGATTTTGATGAAACTCTACGCTAAGCTTGGCCGTTAGCTAGTAGCTAGTTTAATTATAATTTAATAAATTGTGTGAGCCAGGACGCCTCACTTATCTGTACCTTTACTAACATAATCATGTTTAAGTTAATTAATGTTTAAACACAGAAATAAAATAAACAAAGTTATAAGAAATAAAACATACTTAAAATTAAATTAATTATTAAGCGGTTGTCATGATAGAGACATATAATTTCCCTTTTTAGTGTAGACAGTAGTAGCAAAGTAAGAATTCTAACGTGTTAGGCTTGTCAAATCAAACAAAATAAGCCCAAACTCAAAGTATCTACTATTAGCCGTTGAAGATTTCCACCTATCCACCTTCTGGCCTTGCCATCAGATCAGTACAACAACACCGAATCACTGTACTATCAACGGAAATAGAAATACTTGCAAAGTTTCAAGTCAATATGACAATTAGAAGTAGGTTAAATTCATCATTAGTTGTTTTTCCACCCTTAGGGGTGGTATTTTTTTTTGAAATTTAAATGGGACCAATCTGGAAGTATACCCTTTCAAACAAAATAAAAATTGTCCAAATCGGTTAATAACGGAGTTCTGAGGTAACAAACATAAAAAAATAAACATACAGTCGAATTGAGAACCTCCTCCTTTTTGAAGTCGGTTGAAAATTAAACTATCTGTACTCACTAAAGTATGTGTATACTTTTACAATGTTATTTGCAGAGTACTGAGTAGATATAGGAAATAACGCGATCATATCTTGTGTAATTCGTATGCAGCTTTTGGGGAAAGCATGCAATTTCGCTCCATTGCGGTAAGACAAAAACGTATAATTACATTGCGGTATATTTTCATGATGATGAAAACGTAAGAGAATATGTGTTTAATTTCGACCTGAGTATGTGGTTCACTTAAAATACTTTAACAGATATGTATTATAATACTTTTTTAGATTTACGCGAATATTTGACATTTTATATAAAACTATCTTTTCGGATTTTGTCGCGGATTTATTTGCATTTTTGTTTCCCGACGTTTCGAATGCTTTACAGCATCCATGGTCACGGGAGAGACTGAGGTGTTACATGTCTTGGAGGTATAGTTGTTACAGACAGCCTACCCACAATTAATTGGTGCAATTTTTATTTTGTTAATTATGGGTAGGCTGTCTGTAACAACTATACCTTCAAGACATGTAACACCTCAGTCTCTCCCGTGACCATGGATGTTGTAAAGCATTCGAAACGTCGGGAAACAAAAAATGCAAATAAATCCGCGACAAAATCCGAAAAGATAGTTTTACTTAAAAAGATAGTGTATTACGTAGTATATAAATAAAAATGTATGTATGTATTCCTTTTTTTAACGTGCCCACTGCTGGGCACGGGCCTTCTTTTAATACGAGGGTATCAGGCTATATTCCAACACGCTGGCCCAGTACGAGTTGGCGGACTTCACGTGTCTTTCGAAAATTTGCTAAGTTGTCTCAGACATGCAGGTTTCCTCACGATGTTTTCCTTCACCGTAAGACAATTAGTGGTAATTATGTTGGAAATGCACATGAAATATCAGAGGTACGAAGAACCGGGATTCGAATCCGCCCAGCAGTGGGACGTTAAAAAAGGACTGAATACACTATTTGTCTTGAGAAAAGTCCGTAAAATACCTAAGTGATGATAAACTAAAAAAAATGATAAGAAAACAACTTGTACTTACAAGCAAAGTCGCGAGAAAACTCTTATCATTCTTTAAATACCTAAAATATTTCACACTGTATCTACATTTTTTGGTGAGTTTTTATATCTACTATAACGATACGATTTTATAGCTTCATTTATTTTTTAAAAGATATAAATTAAAGTTGCAAAAGACAATTCAATACATTTGACCTAGAAACTGAAAATCCAACGTTACGGGTTTTATGTGTGTGTAGTGAGTAAAATTGTACTTGTTATTCATAGGAGCATTGAATATTTTAGCATTTTATTATTTTTCTAGAATTTGTTTATTATTACATATTTATATATATTTATATATAAAATTGTAATATCAAAATCATATTGAGAAACTTCATTAGGATAAAATAATTAATAAGTATAGTTATTATTTTACAGGAGAGAAAAAGAAAGAAAGAGAGTTTACCTTATAATAATATTTCATAAACTGAACATCTCCCTTGTTGAGATGAGAGATGTCATCGATTGGCCCCAAAAATCGATTAAAATTATAAAAGCAAAGTGGATAGGTATTAAAAGTGAATAAACCATATTAATAACAAGATTTAAAAAAAAATCATGTATTTTTTTAACGTATTTTTTTTTAATTTTCTTAATTTAGATTCAACATCTTATTTGAGGCTCCGTTATCAAAAGGTTAATTCGGATCTTTACGTATACTAAGTCTACGCTAATGGCCCTACAGTATCCTACAGTTAAAGGATGTAGATAACTGTTATAAATTTTCATTTAATATTAGTTATTGAAAAGGGTTACTAAGTAAAAAAGGAAAAAGTAAATTGGAGACTAACCCGCAGTCGGTCAAGTGCCAAATACCAATGCGCTTTTCGAAGTTCTTAGAAAATATTTTTTTTTCTGACTTAATACATAAATATCTTACCAGTGGCTTATTTTCGTAATATATTTATAAATTAGCCCAACTTTCTTAGATAATTCCATTTTCTATTAGTGAAAACCGTATTAAATTTGTACAGTAGTTTCTGATATTAGTACAAACAAACACACAGCGTGACTTGTTTATAATATGTAGGGATTGTATTTTAGTAATGTTAATATATCTTTTCAGATGTGCGGGGGTGAACCATTGTAACTTTGTGCTAGCGGAGGACTATCCTCCTTCTAAAAGCTGGGCTCCTGGTGTCATCTTCCTTAAATACGCTTGCTTTGATGGTAAGTTGGAATTTGTAATTAGTCTTCTAAATTTCTACACTCCTATTATGAAGAGGTAAGATTTGTATCTTTGTATGTTGTAATGAATAAACTCAAAAACTACTGGACCGATTTAGATGAAATTTGGTAATAAGATAGTTTGAGACCCTGGGAAGTATATAGGATATTTTTTTTATTCCGAAAATCATCATAAGGGGGTAAAAATGGAGATGAAAGTTTGTGTGGGAAATCAACCTAGGGACGAACCCGAGCGAAGCGAGGGTGAGTCGCTAGTTAGATATAAATACAAAAGCCACAAGGCACGTAGTAAAGCACCGGACGGAAATGAGTAAAAGCAGCTAGTTTCTCATATTTTACTACCAAAAATGTACGTATGTTGTTGTAATGTCGTCCCTTAAAGGTTGATTCGAGACGAATATTGTTAATATACAGAAAATTTTCATAAATATTTGAGTACTTGTATTGGGTGGGTGCTTAATCTTATGAACATACATACAAATATTGTTATTGTTTCTATAAAAGAAAAAAAAATTATATATTCAATATCATATATACTAGATATCTCGTTTGTTATTGAAATCGCTTTACATAACACTAATAGAGTATATTAAAAGGGATCAAGATCTAAAATCTAAATTGAAAGCATAATCGTTAAAGGCCTTATACTCGTATGTAGTTGGATGGGTTGAATGTTGATTTTACTCTATTTGCTTCAACAAAACTAATGTGTTGTTATTAAATAAGTTCATCATATATTTTCTATTTGAAGCAAAAAGAAGTCTAGTGTTCATTATGCAAAATTAAGGGAAATTATCTAATGTATATATATATATATATATATATATATATATATATTTACAAAAATATTTTACTTTTATAAATTAATACTAATGTTCAAAACTATGTATATGTAAATATATACTTTGATATACTTTTAATATGTAAATAGCCAAAGATAAAAGAGTTCAGTATCTTCTTCTTCTGTGTTTGCTAACTAATTTTCTTTTTTTTTGTTTAGTTGCTAACGATGAGGTTTAGTGTTAACAATCAAAAAAATTTGTAAAATGAGATTTTGATGTTATACTTTGTTGGCACGTTTGGAAAAAATTATGAGAGTAAAATTTTTACAATGCGCGCGCACACCGACAGCCAAAAAGTGACATGATTAAGTTAGCTGCATTCCTTTTACAAATTTTTTATATAGGTAGGTAAGTCTATGCGTATATTATATTTTTCTTATAATATATTAATACTAGTTTTCAATGAGATTATCGTCGAATTTTTACCACTAGGCGAACATTTGTCAATGAATACATTAACAACTCGGGTGGGAAGCGTAAAATTAATTTCCATCAAGACTCGACAGGCAGATGCATGACGTGTGTCACTGATGTAACGCTTATCAAAACCAACATCTATTGAATATATATCGATTTGGGGTAAAATTGGGGTGACTTACCACTATTGCTAGGTCCATTTTGTTAATGCGTGAACGTAATGGAAGCTTTAAGAGATTATTTTTAGTTAAAAAATTGTAATTGGCAAAAATATAAGTATCAATAACCCGAACTGAGTAGGTACCATCTCTTTTTGAAGTCAGCAAAAATTGTAATGTACACGTTACACATCTAAAGCAGAAGTATATTCTTTGAATTTTTTGAATTACTATTATATACATTATTTGAATTACTTATTCTTTGAATTACTTTTAATAATTTATGATAAGTTCTTAGATTTACGCGAATATACTTGTAATGCCTTTGAGACATCTAAAACCTTAGTCTCTCCCGTTACCATGATTGCTGGAAAGCATTCGAAAAGTCGGGAATCAAAAATCAGAATTAATCCACGAAAAAATCCAAAAAGATAGTTGTAGTTAAATATTTTGGTTTACCAAAATTATTAAATAATTTTACTTTTTTGTTTCAATTATTATACGATTCAAAAACTGTACTCGTTCCCACAAGTTCGGCTTACTTGATTGGGGTTATCCTCTGGGATTTGCTGATAGATCGCGGCACGTGCCACTTTGTCGGTCATTTAGACATGCTCGGCCGACGCTAACGAATTCTTATTTATAAAGCTATATATCTTCTGAATAGAAATCCTTATTTTTAGATTTACTAAGTGTGGTGGCTACATGCGTGAAGCCAAGAGGCACACAGGGAGATGGCCCACTTCAGTGGGCGGTATACCATGCGGGTTGCTCCTGGTACTTCTTTGCAACCCCTTGGTTATGTGGTCTGCCTTGGCAGATCTGACCGCGTAAACGATCCTGCGACGACCCATTAAGATGGGGGAGGTTCTGTTGGGTTTTAGTGGGTAGTACTGGCTTCTCTAGTCAGTGAGTCTCACATACCCACCTGTATGTATACAGGTGGTATGCATAAATTCATTTCCCAGCATTTACTCGGTTCAATTCGGTTTTATTCATTGATAAACGAAACAGCAGTATGGAGTATTCAGAAATCACAATTTTAACCATCAGCTTAAACTTTGATGTAATCGACAAAGACGTACACCGACACAGTTAGTAGTAATGAGGCTTTGAGCTATAATAGGGCTATGAAAATAAATCTTATATCAAGGGAATAAGGTTTGTTTTAGAATGGAATAAAGTATATCGCATAACCATCATATGGTAACACACGATAAGCGAAATGTAGCAATTTAGTCTCTTGATTTGCGTTTTGATTTCCATGATATTTTCATTAAACAGAACTTGCTTAATTTGAAGCTCATGTTTTATCTTAATAGATCATTCTTTTTGGTGTAAAATCTATTGAATGAAAACTAATCTATACTTATATTATAAACGTGAAAGTTTGTGAGGATGGATGGATGGATGTTTGTTATTCTTTTACGCCAGAAGGGCTGAGCGGATCTGGATGAAATTTGGCACAGATATAGATTATAGTCTCGAATAGCACATATTTTACTTTTTTTCCGGAAAAATATACGGTTCCTGTGGAATAGATTTGTTTTTGTCAAAGGACGAACCCGAAGCAAAACGAGGGTGAGTCGCTAGTATTACAAACGCAAAAGTTTGTGAGGATATATGAATGGATAGATGCTTGTTATTCTTTCACGCAAAAACTACTAATCGGATTTTGATGAAACTTTACAGTAATATAGCTATCAGACAAACACATGGACTATTATAATTTTAAAAGATATGATATTAAATTTTAAAGATATTAATAAGACAAAGATAAAGTACGTTACTATTTTATAAAATGTATTTTATTATTTTAATTGCTACACATTTCAGTGCCGTCACGCTTTTTTTGTTCAAATTATTTTATAGTTTTATAGGTAGACACCATTTGTTATAACTGCGAAAATTGTGACGTTTAAACACCTTAGTCTCTCCCGTGCCTATCCTTGCAATAATTTCTAAAGCATACGAAACGTATTAGTAGTATTATAACGTAAAATATAGGTTATGAAGGTATATTCATTTAATAGAAAAATATTGAATCATTTATATATCCTACTAATATTATAAGCACGAAAGTTGGTGAGGATGGATGGATGGATAGATCGATGGATGAGTGAATGTTTGTTACTCTTTCACGCAAAAACTACTGAATGGATTTTGACAAAACTTTACATTACTATAGCTTGTAAATAAGAGTAACATATAGGATATAATTTTGAAAGATACAATAATATAAAATTGAAATATGTGTGTGGAGCCGCGGGAAAACGCTAGTTTAATATAATATTTGCATTACGAGTCCACTTACTCTCGTAAATGATAATAGCATTGTGGCAGATTGCATAATAAGCTCGTAAATCTACATTACTACTGAATTTTATGGGTAGCGATTATAGGGCCCATGTTATGTCATTGTTCACGTGGCATAAAGCTTTATGGTGTTTAAGCTTTTTTACGTAGAGTAGTTTTAATTATTTACTATAAGTATTAGTGAATATTGCAGATAAAAATTTTAATGGCAAATAACTTTTTTAATAGACCCTTACTTTAAGAAATGGATTAAGCCTTGAATTATGTGGTTGAAGTTTTTTTTTATTGACAATGTATATATTTGTACAATTTACAATACCTAGCATTTCAGAAAACTTTCATAAAGCTTTCGTTGTTACATTGAAAATAATAGTTAAAAGCTACTATACTTTAATTAATTATTAAGCACCTCTTGCTATCTGGCTATTCAGTAAAACGTGTAAAATATTAGTTTCATTAAAAAAATTTGCCCCGTTGAGTTTATTTTAGCGGTTGTTGTCTTTGCCTAAGTTAAATACAGTACAAATATAATTAATACCGTTCAATTAGGTATTTATGTTGATCAATTTATTGACATGTATCTATAGATAATTCTAGAAGGAAGAAGATAAGATTCAGGCCTACTTCAACATTTTTCATCGCTTTCTAGTGGCGACCCTGTTCCAGTTACTAGTTCTTCTTAGATAGAAAGTATACCATAAATCGAACTACTGTCATAAATTCGAATATTTATATGTATATGTATTTCTATGATTTGTTGCTCCTTCGCGCTGTATTGGCTGGACGGATTTGGATGTGAATAAATAAATATGTTGGGACATTAAAACACAACACCATCTAGTTCCATTGAAAGCTACGAGACTTGTGTTATGGATACCAGATAGTTCATACACTACACATATGTAACTTTAAATACATACATGTTATAAATATAATCACCCGTGACTGACTACAAACATTCGTGCTTATCACACAAATGAATGTCCTCATCGGGACTTGAACCTGCGACCGCTAGCACAGCAAGTAGGGTCACTACAAACTGAACTAAACGTGTCGTAAGGTACATGACATGTATCAATTAGGTTATTATTAAGCATCTAAGGTCAAGCAAAGCGAGGGCCGCTAGTTTTTAATATTTCTACAACACTAGAAATGAACACTAGAGAATGGGTGAACGAATTTGAATGAGAATTGTTATTGTATGCTATTGTGTAGGTTGACCAAAAATATAGTAAGTTTCATTTAAAAATATTTATTTCAGATTAAGTAATATATGGCAGTGGTAGCCTAGTAGTAACGCGCTCGCTTAGGACCGAGTGAAGCGGGTTCAAATCCTGGGTCTCGCACCTATGATATTTTTATGTGCGAATCATTTCTAACATGATTACCACTTGTCTTACGGTGAAGGAAAACATCGTGAGGAAACCTGTATGTTAGAGAGAACCTAGCAAGTTTTCAAAAGACACGTGAAATACGCCAACCCGCACTTGGCCAGCGTGGTGGACTATGGCCTGATCCCACTCGTATTGAAGGAAGGCCCGAGCCCAGCAGTGTGACATTAAAAAGGGCTGAATACAAGTAATATGTACATTTGGTATATTTTGTAATATTACTATCTAAAATAAAATCTGCAAAACCATTACGTCGATACAAATCTATGATCCTGATCGGCATTGGTGGCGTAATTTATTAGGGGTGTCCAATCTAAAGCAAATGTACAGCAATATTATGAACCATTAATTTTATAATATTTTTGTGTGCTAAAATTTTTTATGCCTATTTTGAATGGTACTTTAAATCTATAATCATATAGAGCTCGCAGCACTTAGCATGACTTTCTTTTCAATGACTTTTTCGCTTTAGTAATGCTATTCTCTAAAAACTTTTATATAACACGACAGCTAACACCGCAAAAATACTTCATGCAGAATAATAATAACAATAATAATGTCCTTTTGACGGATTTCGGCCATGGCGCTCATATCATTGAGAGTCGCTAACTGCGCAGAAGATGTTAGAGTGCACAAGTGTGCGCAAACACAAGTGCACTCACTATTCTTGTCACTCTCATACTTCTGTGGAACTACTTCTCGGCATTACCAGTGAAATATCAGGCGTAATTCCGATGGCTTTACGTGCTCTCCGAGGCCCGGGGGTGAAACATGCCCCGACGGCAGGTCTGTCGCAGCAGACCACAAAAACCATGGGGTTTCTCTCACATGTATCCGTATGGTACATGTGTGGTATGAGCAACCCGTATGGTACACCGCCCACCGAAGTGGGCCACATTCCAAGACGTTTCTTGGTTTCGCGCCCGGCTGAACTGCCGGTTGCTAAAGCCCCGCACCACGACACGGTGAATGCACGCGGACTTATCAAGACGCAGCATCTCACCTAAGTTGCATTGTAATTGAATGAATTAAATGAATTTTATTTTCATAAAGGCCTAATATAGATGTAAATTCCAAATCGATAAGAATGACTTCACAGTTTTTGCGTCTAGCTGGTAATCGACCCGTGTCAATCCGCCTGAGAGAAACATAGTCAGAAATATATGGTATAACTAAGTCTCACCGCGACTGTCTCAAGGACACGAGTTCAAGGCCGCTTGAAGTTGCGGCTGAATTGCTTTTGAACATAAGCTCAATTATATTTTTTCTCTTACTTTAACGCTTTATTTATCTAAAATAATACAATTTCCTATACCTGTTATCTATACACATAATAAAATTCTAACCGAGTATAATCTGTATATTAAATATTTTTTTGGAAAATCTTATTGATATTGACATTATTATCGGTAAAGGCCGAATCTATAGTTTTTAGAATTCTTGTCTGTCTGTCTGTCTGTCTGGGGACGCATCATGACAAACCACTGGATAGAATTTTGATAAAATTTGGGATAATGATAGCTCTTTTATTTTATCGCTATTAGCTATTTTTATTTTAGCAATATCCGGGTAACTTATAGGATACTTTTTACTGCGGGAAAATATCTCATCTCTGAGAAATCTGTACTACCGTTAAAACGTACCTAGAGACGTATCTGAGTGGAGCGAGGGTGAGTCGCTAGTTATTAATACAGAAGCTTCGTGTAGATAGATAAAAAAGCTTAAGAAAATATTTTTTTATGATGAAACTACGCAAATATTTTTTTAATTTAATTACTATTTTTTAGAAATTTCGGAAACTTTCGGTTTAAAAGTATTAAAATAGTGTACAAGTTTTTAAAGTATATTAATATTCTATGTTTCATCATTGGCTTCTATATATCTGTTAGATACAAATAGGCCAGCACAGTTCAAGGGCATTCGTAGGCCATAACAGTAAAATAGCCTGGGTGTGTTAGGTTACTTGTTATCTACTATAATTACTTAAGGCATTCATCAGACACGAAGGGGTGTGTCATGGTTGTTGTATCACTAGCGGCTCACCCTCGCTTCTCTCGGGTCCGTCTCTAGGTACGTTTAAACGGTTAATATACAATAAATAGACTATAGGTATATTATATATAACATATAGCCCTTCTTAATAAATGGGTTATCTAATAAAAAAATCTAATAAAATTTAATTTAAAAAATATCGAATTTTCCAATTCACATTAGTAGTTTCTGAGATTAGCGGGTTCAAACAAACAAACACTGCCTCTATATAATATTAGTATAGATTCATTGCAAAATTACTAAAGTTTACTTTCATTTAAAACGTACACTCTTCAAAATGACTTAAAACTAACTTCAATAAACAAACAATTCTAGCTTTTGGAGGTGGACTTTATTTATGACATATGCATTAAAAAATATCAAAATCGATTGACAATTGGCTTAAAAAATACAAAAAAAACAGCAGAACCACCGTTCGTTATAAAGCATGTTATCCTATGCCATATGGGAGTGACGTTAACATAAAGAGAAAATATTGGTACACTCCGTTCTTTGCTTTTAACTAAATGTCTTAACAACTTAACAATGCTGGCTGTGTTTTTAAACAACGACGATGAGAGGAGACTCATCAACTATTGCAAAAAAACTTTTATGGATGAATGAAGCTTAGAATCTTACAATATATCTATTTTTAATATTCACGAGTCGTCGCGACTCGATTATAAATATCTTTAATTATATATACAACACAAATGTACACTTACTTATTACTGTACAAGTCATATCCGCGTGGATATGAATGTTTTAGTCTTGACTTATTAACTAGTGCGGAACTTAATATTTTCTCATTAATATTATAAAGAGGTAAAGTTTGTGAATTTGTGACGTTGTAGGGTGTAATCTCTGGATTTACTGAACCGATTTAGATGAGGTAAGACGATAGTTTAAGATCCTGGGAAGGACATAGGATACTTTTTATACTGGAAATAACGAAATAATTGATAAAGTCGGCTGTCTCGAACTGTGATGCCTCTCAGTAATTTTTTTTATGGTGGTCGTTTTCTCCATCCGATGTAGATAAACTCTTCTTAAATGTATCTCTTGGCTTTTCGCCCAGCTCCATTGCCGGATGCTACTGGGACCCCCATAAGGTTAGAATACACATTCGACAGGGAGAGGTGGTATTTTTGGGGGTATAGTCTCTGAACCAACGGTAAATTATATATTATTTTTATTCCAGAATGTTATTATAGAGTCTAGTAAAATTGCCTGTCAAATGATAGTATCGGAACAATGGTAATGATTAATTTTTAGCCTAATTTATTTTTTAACAAAAATTATACGCTCACTTCAGAGTAACTTAAAAATTAATTATCACAAAAATCACTTAGTAGAAAACCGGAAAATGATTGATTGAAAACCGATTAATTGAAAAAATATGAAAATCGATTCTCAATTGGCCAAGATATCATGTAACATATGTACATACATATAAAAAAATAAAGCTGAATACCCTATTCCATTTCGAAATCGGTAAAAAATGATACGAAAGCTCTATTATATATTTTCTTGTTACAGATTTATTATCGATCCACTATTGCAGTCGGGAGCTGTACATATCGCATTCAGGTCCCGACAGTGAGGGATACATACGGACACCCGGCTACCCCCATTTCTATGTCGGCGATGAATGCCGATGGAAATTAAGGGTTCATCCGGAGCAAAGGGTCCGGGTCACGCTATTGGATGTTAGTTTGAGAAGTAAGTAAATGTGGAACTTAATTTTATGATAATAACTGTACTACTGATATATGTACGATAACCAGTTTACACGATACAAAATTTCATTTCAATCCCTTCAGTGGTGTTTCTGTGATGCGGTCACAGACAGACAGACAGACAAACATTCTAAAAACTATATATTCGGCCTCTGTATCGATAATAATGTCTATTTCATAAAGATTCAACTCAGAATTTTATTATATGTATAGATGAATAAAATTAGAGAAGGAAGGCGTATGACGATCCAGAACTGTTCTCGGTTACTCACTTCCTGTTTACATATAAATGAATATCATTTTATTTTGGGACATGAATATGATAACTTTTTATGAACTCATACCAGTAATTAGTTTCCCGAAGGAGTATTTATTTTTAAGACTCTGCTAAGCGTAGGTAGGATTGAAAACGAAATTTACATAAAGTCTCTATTCTTTTTTTCTATTCCATTTCGAAATGTTTGGGAAGTGGTAGTTCAGTGGTAATAGGTTCACTCTGTAAAGGTGTAGCGGGTTCAATCCCGGGTCTGTCAACTCTAATATTACCAATTTCAACGTGTTAACCACTCGCGTTGCGGTGCAGAGGAAAACATTCTGAGGGAACCTGTGAGAATCGAACTAGTTTTAGAAAGACATGTAAAGTCTGTCCAATACGCATTTGCCCAGCGTGGTGTATATGGTCAGAGTCCGTAGCGTGTATACACATACCTTTAATTACCTGTAATTTTTACATATATGTACTAAGATCAAAGACGACCGCCTTCTTTTTTATTGTGCCGTAATCTGATAAAAATGTTTAATACCAGCGACACACCCTCTCTTCTCTCGGGTTCGTCCCTGGCTTGCTTCTCAATACAAACTTTCATCCCCATTTTCACCCCCCTAAGGAATGATTTTCGGGATAAAAAGTATCCTTTATCCTTCCCAGGGTCTCAAACTATCTTCTTGCCAAATTTCATCTAAATCGGTTCAGTAGATCTAGAGTACCCCCTACAACGTCACAAACTCACAAGCTCACAAACTTTACCTCTTTATACTCGTAATACTATATTAGTATAGATTTCATCGGTATCCTGATATAAAAGAAATCTAATACTGCTGACTAGAAATATTTAGATCAGTAAGACGTACTTTTAGATGACCAGGTTCACCGAGAACTTCATGAGCAATGAAAAAATCTGCCATCACAGGTTTTTATTTCTTCATCAATATGATATAGGTACCTATTTCATGGTAAAGTCAACATCAGCTTTAAAAGTTGAAAAAAAATTACAAAAACTAAAAGATAAAAGCTTCAAAGGTGTGAAAATGTCGCCGGGTTTTAAAAGTGTCAGGAAGTGACACTTTTGTTTCTGCGTATTCCGTAGTTAACACTTTTGTTGATAACTTAATTTTTGACTTTGAAATGTGGGCTTTGATACTTGTTTGAATTGAAAAGCTTTTTTAAAGCTTTAGAAATAATTAGTTATAATATTCTCAAGCTTAAAGAAGCTTCCATGAGATTCTATAGACAATCGCTTATAACCTTATACCAAAAGGCAAAACACCTGCATCTGACAAGATTGCCTTATCAAATAGGTAATATTATTAATCCAATCAGCTTCTATTACATTATATTTTTATCTACACGAATGTCATTTAAATGTACAGATGAATGAGACATTGAAAGCGTTTCGATAATAATAGTGCGTGTATCGTATCGTATAAGTATTATTATCATTAGATGTCAGTGTTGAGTCTGAATTACATAGTATTCAGAGGGAACCACATATGTAGATAATTTTATGACATTTTTGACTTAATCGACATTTTTGACGACACGTTGGCTCAGTTTGTAGTACTGTACTTGCTGTGCCAGCGGTCGCGGGTTCGAGTCCCGCTGGGGGCATTCATTTGTGTGATGAACACGAATGTTTGTACTCCAGTCATGGGTGTTTATATTTATAATATGTATGTATTTAAAGTTATATATGTGTAGTGTATCAACTATCTGGTATCCATAATTTCAATCCACTTGAATCGTCATAAGTTATTTGAATAAGTGTAGAAGATAGCCGTTTCGTTTTGGAAGTTAAATTAACTAAAATGTGTAATATTATATAATTATTTTTAAAATAATATGCCCATTATATTATTTTACTATATTTACATACTTTAAAGTTAACGTATCTACCTATAAGAATGTGTTTGTTTTAATATTTTACAGGTATAGGTCCGTTCGAGAAAGAATGCATCGATTTTGTTTCTATAGAAGATTCGAACGGCAGTGTTCTGTTGTCTACTTGTGAGCAAGTCGACTTACCTCTTCGCTTGACTTCCAATACCGATACTGTTGAAGTAGTTGTAGAAGCTAAGTCTAAAGGCGCCTTTCCTAAAAGAGGCGTGTTGTTACATTATAAAAGTAAGTAGTTCTGCCAAAAATATTTTTTTTTTTATTTCACTTATCTGTTAAATACAGAAAACATACAGATATATATTCATATATTTTTTGAAATTAATATTGTTCTTCTAGCGCCATCTGCTATCTTAATGTGAAATTTCTTAGTTGTGATATAGCGCCATCTAGTACCCATCTAATGTACTAATTTACAAATATAAGAATTGTAAAGTATATTTTAGCGTAAATCAAACTTTATTATTTACTTAAATATTTCCATCACCTCCTTTTTAAAATTTAAAACACTATGTTTTAACAATATATTTTTTTGAATAGGTATAGGTTGTGTTACGCTACCAGCGCCATCTAGTGGTTATTTGGTGTACCGCAATGGAGACTTCGCGCACTATATGTGTAACGTTAACCTTGTTTTCGATGACACCCAACAGAGGACGCGAGTTTTATGGTGCTATGATGATAATAGATGGAATGATACAGTACCTGCGTGTATAGGTGAGTTTACAAATTATATTATTTATTTACTCGTATCTAATATTAAAAAATGTAAAATTATTCAATAAATAATACAAGATATTTGACAAACACATTTTTTTTTATTGTATAAATAATTAATTTTAAAAACTTAAAGGCATATGGACTACAAATGTATTTAAAAACTATTATTTCAACAATTTTCTATCGCGAAATATATTTAAACGATAAATTAATATGAAGGTAACTTCATGTCAAACAACGTGTTTACTCAACAAAGCTTTTAAACATGCAAGGAGCTTATTCATAAACTTGAGGTTATCCGCCATTATTGTAAAAACGGGCATGCGCAGTTGCCATTACACATCTCTTTCTCACTCATTATTTTTCATATAAGTGAAAGAGATAAAAGACTTTCTCTATACAACGTGATTATTTACTATTAAGCTGAGACCATTAGAAACGAAACCTTGTGATATGGAGTTAGGGTTCATTTTTAAGTATATTAATTAATATTATTTTGAACGTGCCGAGTTTCATACTTCAGGCACGTTTTTGTAAATACAGTATTCGTAGTTTGTCTTCGGTGGCGGCTGTTGGTCCCGAATAGACTGTTTGGTCGCGTGTCGAGCACGTGTCTATAAGTGAGTTCATTTTAGTTTTTTGTGTAGTTTTCGTGATATTCTAGTATCTAAGGTGTATTATTTAAATTGTCGGTGAGAAATATATGATGTTCTTTATTATATTGTCATTATTAAATTGGAAAAACACAATTAAATTAAGTTTTAAAAAAATCTTTGATAAAAATTGTGAAAAAAATATACTGACAGTATCAGCTCTATGATAGAGAGTATGGTAGAGTTGTAAAATTCTAAAATAATTCAGTTAATACTTTCTTAGATTTACGCAAATATTTGACATTTTAAATAAAACTATCTTTTCGGATTATTTCGCGGATTTATTTTGATTTTTGGTTCACCAAACCAAATCTGGAAACCAAAATCAAAATAAATCAGCGAAATATTCCGAAAAGATAGTTTTATTTAAAATAATTAGGTTAATTATTAAGTAAATAAATAAATAGATTGAATATTTGTATGTAGTTACTAGTTAGCAACAATTGTTTAAGAATTTTAGCTTATCGATGCCTTTATCAGTAGCAATATTTGAACTCAAAGACTGATTGCGTTGTTTATCTATTTATGACATTAATATTTAAAGTATAGCAAGGCCGCTACTGAATATATATTATATTTATAATACTAAAAAAGTATAATATACCTTCATTTCCCTCGTGAGTATCGTTTCAGCTATAGTATGAAAAAAAAATTTTGGACGGACAAACATTAGTTTTATTGAATTGGCACAGAGACAGATTATAGTCTAGAATAACATATAGAATACTTTTATCCCGGAAAAATCTACGGTTCCCGTGGGATAGGTTTGTTTTTGTTTTCCGGTGAGCCGCTAGTTTTAATATAAATATGAATGCAATATGGTCCAATTATAATGAAAAATTGCTATAAACTATATAAGTACATATAATATTTTAATCAATTTGCTTCAGTGATAACATTGTTTGTCCTTCATATAATATTTAATATTATTAAAACTTCTGTTATGAATATAATTATAATTCATATTTCATAGCCATTACTAAATATTTCAATTTTTATAGTAAAGTAGAAACGGCCGTCAAGATAGAGACTTCCTTGCGTTGGTAGCGTGTTCGATTACCGAAATGAATTGTTTTATCAATATTTTTTTGCTTCAGTGTTCCATTTTACTCATTTATTTTTTAATAGGGAAATAGAACTTTACATAGACTTAATAGCTAGAAATGGTTATGATATTGAAAATTATACAGGAAAAAATATTGCTTCTTCTACCACAGTCACGATTTAACCCTTAAGGTTTCAATTTAAAAAAAAAACCTAATATTTCAGAAAAACGCTATTAAAATTTTAGCGAGGTAGAAATGATTTGTTCCTGACTGATTTATTTTCACTCAGGCCAAACAAATATGAAAAGATTTTTCTTTATATAACAACTAGCGACTCACCTTCCTTCCGTTCCGTTTCGTCCCTAGATACGTTTTGAGGGATATATGTATAGATTTCTCAGAGATGAAATATTTTCCCGCAGTAAAAAGTACCCGGATAGCTAGTTATCATCATACCAAATTTCATTAAAATCTATCCAGTAATTATCTCGTGATGCATTCCCAGACAGACTGCCAGACAGACAATAAATCCAAAAACTATAGATTCGGCCTCTATCAATAATAATGACTATTTCAATAAGATTTTCCAAAAAATATTTAATGTACAGATTTGACTCAGGTAGAATTTTATTATATGTATAGATAAATTATTACACGATACCCTAAACCTAAGCTCAGCTTAGTTATTTCGCTTTATGTATAACTAACACATAATTCGACTCCATTATGTATATGTACATGTACATCTATGTATGTATATAGTAATAAGTAACTTTTCTATATTCAAAAAATCCTTAAGCGAAAATACGAAAACGATAAAGAAATTAAAAGAACAATCTATTCATATACCTCATTTACGACATTCAACAAACTTATCTCAGATGGTAATTATACGTTTTTAAGTTGGACACGCTATGTTTAGTAACGCTACGTTGAACTGTGTTTATTTTTGTTATAAGCTATAAATACATATTAATAAATGTATATTATAGTTAATAGAAAGATATATTATAAAAGCTGTGTCCCGCGGTTTCACCCTCGTTAAATAAAGAAAAACGCACAAGGTATTTTTGAAATGGGTTCAGTAGTTTCAGAGCTTATAACACTTAAATATAATAAACATCAGTTTTATACAATAACTAGCGGACCCGACAGACGTTGTCCTGTCTACAATGATAACAAAACTTTTTTTTAATTTGATCGCAGCGCTAACTGTCGGGACAGACTAAAATTAAAATTCGAATATTATTTAAAATTTGACACTGCGATGGTAGCGCCGTCTGTCGGATCCAATGTAAAACATTCCAAAATCAACAACTACTAATAAATTAAAAATTAATTAAAAAAACATTGTCCAGCGGACAAAATTGTGAATCTAAACCATTCCCAGATCCCCTTGAACACACACAAAAAATTTCATAAAAATCGGTCCAGTCGTTTGAGAGAAGTTCAGTGACATACACACTCACAGAAGAATTATATATATAAAGATGTATGGAAGTCTGCCCGATTTGTTGACATTTATGATTACTGCTCCGCTCTCTTGGGTAGTATCATGATGATATAAAGCCTTCCTCAATAAGCGGGCTATATATTGAAGAAATTTTTTTTTCAACGAGATTAGGGCATTCAAACAAACAAACAAATAAACAAACTCTGCCTCTTTATAATATCAGTATAGATTGGCATGAGAAGTAATTTGAATTATTATTGGTCCGATTTTACTAAAAATACTATTTTTGCTTACTAACCGATTGCAAAATATTTCATCTGGGCGAAGTCAGGGCGAGTAGCTAGTTTAAAATAAATAAAAGGGACCGTTTTTTTTATGTTGATGATAAAACTTTGGTTTGGTTTTTACAACAAAACTCATTTAAGGTTTTCCGTTACCGACAAAGTGTGTTTCATTAAAGTCTCCACAAAGTTTAATCACTTATAAGGCTTTATTTCAATAAAAACTAGTGAGCTTCTGATGGGCAGGTTTTGTTCAGAGTGTTTAATTAAACATCGAGCATCAATCGAAATACACTGTTGTTTAGATTAAATCATTAAAACTTTGTTTATCTTAAATTATTTGCTGTCAAATTCTAAATTAAATTTACTTTTTTATAACAATCTCTCTCGTGTTTCTTCTATACTATGTGAAGTAATCTCTGCTCTACTGGAACGCTTTGAAGCCATTAACAAGAGAATTGAATTGAATTAAGATCTGAATTGAAGTAATAAGGCATAGTTTTATCAAATATTATGCCAAAATTTTATTCAGTACTTGCATTTCTCCGCGTTCAGATGACCAAAAACCAAATTCTTAGATCTAACATATTAGTATACTCTTACATTGCAGTTTTTGTCATTTTTCTTAGAAATGAGATATTTTCCCGCGGTAAAAAGTATCCTATATAATGACCCGGATAACCAGCTATCCCCATAACCAATTTCGTCAAAATCCCTCCAGTGGTTTTTCTGTGAAGCGGTAACAGACAGACAGACAAAAATTCTAAAATCTATAGATTCGGCCTCTGTATCCATAATAATGTCTATTTCAATAAATTTTTCCAAAAAATATTTAATGTACAGATTCGGCTTAGTTACAATTTTATTATATGTATAGACTATATGTTTTTAATCACTTTTTTCATTTCTACACTGTTCTTCAAACACTACATTGTACTTATATCGAATATATTTTAATATGTTTGTATTTGGTACACTAATTCTAAATCAATTTTCATATTATTTTGTGTAGGGTAGTGCCATAAAAATAAAAAAAAAACACTTCTAAAGGCGGGGCAATATTTACTTTTAAGTGATTTTGATGTCGTTATTTAAACCAGTATAATAAAATACAAAGGTGTTTTAGTTAAAAAGTTATTCAAGTCTATCTAGAAATCTCGAAATAATAAAAAAAAATTTAGTTAACGAACGTTGACTAAGTCCGTGCTAGTTACTGTAATTATAAATAACTAGCGGACCCGACAGACGTTGTCCTGTCTTTAATTTGAAAATTTCAAACTTTTTTTAATAATTTTTTTGATGAAAATTATTATTCAAATTGTGAATCTAAACCATTCCCAGATCCCCTTGAACACACACAAAAAATTTCATCAAAATCGGTCCAGTCGTTTGAGATAAGTTCAGTGACATACACACTCACAGAAGAATTATATATATAAAGATTTGACGTAATAGAAAGTAAACTATTGCATGTGGTGGTGTCAGTTTGTTATTCTTTTATTTTATATACTACAATACAATATACGAGTATATTACCCGTGGCTCTGCCGGTGTAATTTAAAGATTACGGATTTTCATACAAACTTCCAACCCCTTTTTTTAATGTTGGGAAATGCATTTAGGTATACCACCTGTATACATACAGGTACGTGGGACTCACCGGCTAGAACAGCCAGTACTACACACTAAAACCCAACAGAACCGTCCCTATCTTGATGAACCACGACGTCCCGAAAACTCCCAACCCCATTCTTACCCTTTTAGGGGTTGAATTGTAAAAATCCTTTCTCAGCGATACCTGTATTACACTATCAGGTTGCCTGAAAGTAATCGCTTCTATCTCTTATTTTTAGTATATTTCTCTTTTTTTGCACATCATAAGGGTGTGCAATAAATTATATTTCTATATTTAATTTGTTAATCTTTTTGATGAAATACAATAAATATTATATATAACTAGCTATCTTTTAAAGTAAATACGATAAACTAACAACTAATGAACAATGGCAGTTGAGAGGATGATTAAACTCGTTAAGCCTCTGTGACTGGAATCCATATTTAAATACACAGTGGCTCATGTTGTCACATATAATTTATTTGGAAAATTTTACTTTCCTATAAAAATATTTTAAAACATATAAGAGAAGTGATAGTCGTAGCCCAGTGGTAACGCACTGGCTTGGAAAA